TTCGAGAAGCTGATACTCGTTAAGCTTCTCAAGAAATTCCTTGCGTCTTATGGAATTTCTTGATTAGTTCACCAACTGTTATCTTCTCTTGGAGAGGATTCCCTCTCCGCTCTTTAAAAAACCAGAAGATGAAATCTAGATGACATTATGTTAATGCCATACAGATTAAGAAATAAACTATATTGCTGCATAAATATTAATTTATTCATCAGAAAAGTCTTGTTTTATGACAATATTCATTTTCGTGCCTTATCACAATCTATTTTTTTACTATTCTCCTTACATTTAAAATGGTTCAGCCTGGGGAGAAGGTTGAACTTTGTTAGCAGCAGCAACTTTAGAAATAGCAACATTGGTAATAGTGCACGGATTTAGAAACTGAAATTTGAAAGACATTCAGCTTATCAATTGGACTGGGGTGCATGGCGGAAGTGAGTTTTTATGTTCAACAACTCTGGGTTTGAGACGGATCTACATTGGTCTTCGTCTGCCATCTGGTGTAATTCTTGGTTAACACGAACCAAGCAACTGCATGACTCGACGATTACGATGACTGACATCTACCAACAAAGACTAATTCGCTGACTTCCCTTCCTTCCTATAGATGGCAGCAGCGCAGTATGTCGATCCCTTCAGTTTTGGCGCGTGTTTGTGGATGTGGAGTTATTTTGAGCATTCATTACATGAGATGGCTTCTATTTATTTCATGATACATGGTACATGGTACAGTAACACTAGCAGGCAAATGCGTAAAGGCAATACTAAATATTAATTGTAGCTTTATATTGAAGCATAACTGGTAAAATGTGGCAGTGTCTATGTATATTTTTATATATGGATAATGAACTAATTGTATGAAATTTAAGAACATTGTTTGTGTGCTTATTACCCAGTGAATATCATTTGAGTGCATCGATATTATTAAGCAACTTAAAAATGTGTATTATTTGAAGCTAAAAACATTGTTAAGGAAGGACCAATAAAAATAAACATGGATTGTGCAGACCAGCCATTAATTCAGCCCATTGCACCCCCTGTGGTATGCATGATGCGCAGAGGCTGGAATGCGACAAAACTCTGCACATTGTTCCCTCCGTGGTACAGGTTGAGGTAACTGACAACTCAGTCCATGCATAAATACAGAATGTGAACACAAACCTCATCGCATCAACCCCTGATGACAGAGACGAGACAGTCTGAAATGACAGACATTAACTCCACACTGACATGGCTGGTCACATAAGAAGACTTCACTGTTGATATTGCAATTATTTATGTGATTTAATCCATTGTAATATACAGGGAGGCACATGAGATGATCCAGTATTTGTTCTACTAATAAAATCTTCATTTTGATTATATTATTAATATTAATTAATTAATATTAAATATTAATATTATATTATTAATTTGTCAGTAATTGAGTAATTATGTTGTAGTGGGTTATGTTTATTGCCAATAATTTCAACTGCTCAGTACAGAAAATATGGACATCAGCTATATTTGAATATAGTTTATAAATTATACTAAATAGTTTCATTTTTATAACATACAGTTTCCTTTCTATGCAGGTCTAAACTGTTGGCAGAGAGAGTGGACACTCCTTGCATAGTACAGAATGCAGGGATACTGTACAACTTCGTTTCTCCATCTCTGGAAACTTCCAGCTTCATGTTATCGACTGTGGCGGATATAATAACTGATCTGGATACGGTTGTACTGTATTGTATTCACAGGATTAAGGCCGTGCCATAGCTCATGCAGTTAGTCACTGGCTTCCCACTGCGGCGGCACGGGTTCGATCCCAGGTCTGGTCAAGTTGGATTTGTGGTGGACAAAGTGGCGCTGGGGAAGGTTTTCTCAGAGTCCTTCAGTTTCCCCTGCCAATCTTCATTCCACCAATTGCTCCACAATCACCCTCACCTATCATCTGGGGCTGGTACAATAGGCCAGAAGTGGCCTCAGTACAAGGGACTTAGTCCCACCCCACTAGCAATAATAAATAATAATAATTCACAGGGGGCACGTGGTAGCATAGGTGGTTGAGGGGCTATGCTACAAGCCGGAAGGACGATGGTTCAAGTCCCGATGAGGTCACTGGATTTTTTTCAGTTGACCTAATCCTTCCAGCCGCACTATGACCCTGGGGTTTACCCAGCCTCTAACAGAAATGAGTACCAGGAATTAATTAAATAATATTCCTGGGGAGTAAAGCGCAGCCGGCGCGTAAGGCTGACAACCTTACCTCCATCTATTAGCCGATTGTCTAGATAATATGGGACCCTCAACATCTCACAACCTTATGTGCCCTCACAGCCTGGTACAGGGATAGCTTTACTTTTTACTTGAATAATAATTCTCAGGATTAACTAGGACAATGCTACTCACCATGGAGCCCATTTTATGCTTCTATGTGGCCCTCAAAATGAACAATGTAATACAGTTCAGCAAAGTCTTGTTTTAGTAGCAGAACAGGAAATTTTGAATAGAATTCTTGTCTAGGGGCTGCCACTGTCCTCTGATTATTTGGTACAGGAGGAGAAAAACAGTGTCAGAGTGTTTACCAGAAAGCACTACTATAGTCAGTAAACCCTTCATTGTGGTTTTCCTCTAAAATATTTATGTCACTTTCAAGCGGTATTGGCCCACCTTTGTGAAGTAACTTTCAGTATGCTAAGATGCATTAAACATGAACATAAAACCAGATAATCTTCTTCACTTGCTGTTTTAAAACAACTACTAAAAAGGAATATTTTGAAAAGCTCAGAATATTCTGATTATTAATAAAAAGAAAAAAGTAAAGCTATCCCTGTACCAGGACGTTGAGGGTCCCACATTATCTAGACAATCAGCTCAAAGATGGCGGTAATAAAGTTTAATTAATTTTTCTGCAGTATGTCAAAACTCTTCATTGTACAGTAAATATTAATCTCAAATTTTGGTCATTCAAAAACTTTGTAGTTTTTGTTACATTTTTCAATTGAAATTTCAGCAGTAGCAGCAGTGGGCAACGTATATGTGTTTACTCACCATCACTTGATTTCCAGTGAGTTCCACTGAACTAACATTTTTCTTTTAACTGCCCCTTTTATTGTTCAGGTCATCCATTTCAGTCTACTGTCTTTGAATGTGTACCGTGAAAGTAAAGAACAAAAGTTAAGTATAATTTTATGTAAATATATTTCTTAAATTTGTATTTCATGTATTGTTTTGTATGTTGGCTGTAACACACAACTGGACTGAATGAACAATAAATCCACTGAGTAACCAACTTGTATCATAAATACTTTTTAGTGTGTATTTATGTGATTCTTGTTTTGATGTCATTTTAATTCAGATTTTAAATTAATCAATTACAGTGTTGGATGTTAAATGTATAACCATTATGTGTGCCGTGAAGAAACTACCATTGGCATAAATTAGATTAAGTTTCATGTAAATCTCATTCTTAAATCTGTATTTCATCTGTTGTTTCTGTGATCAGTTACATTTAACTTGGGAATTTGAGGTGGCTACAAAGCTGACTAAAAATCTGGCAAATCATCTACATACTCTTATCACTGTAAATACTATTTAGCATGTATCAGGGCATACATAACTCACCAGTTCCTAAAGACATGATAAAAACAGCATATGGCAGGACCTGTGTTTGACTTCAGCCAATTAATACAGAGCATTTGTTGAATGGTCAATCCCATTTCATTTAACAGACAGACCCAGACATGTGAAGTTTTGAAGCTTACACAGTTCCTGTAACCCAACTATTTTCCAAAGTCTAGAACGGATTCTTAGACATGTAATGCCACAATTCAATTTCTGGTAGTTCAATGTCCTCTGTTGGTAGGAAACAAAAATCATATTATCTCCATGGTATCTAAAACACAGTTATTCTACTTTCATGAAGAGTGAGCTGCGTCAAAATGTAACATTGTGGTTCTGTATGGTGTGATATGGTTGTATATATCACAATATTATGCTTTTTGCTGGTCACGGTAGCTGAGCAGTCTAAGGCGTGCACTGTCTTCACTCTCTCAGAAGCCGAGATCGTGGGTTCGAATCCCACTCAGCATGGATGTTTGTGTGCATTTTTCTGTGTTTGTGTACAGGTAGAGGCCTTGCGACAAGCTGATCACCCGCCCAAGGAGTCCTACCGTATGTGTAAGATCTAGAAAAACCGAAGTGAACAGAGAAGTTCATGGAGGTAGACCTAGGCCCACTGGGGCTGTAGTGCCAAGAAAAAAATAATTATGCTTTTTGGCACCAGGGTTAATACCTCACAATATCAGATGTTCATTACTATATCTTTAGTGAAGTGGTCTGCAGTTGTAATCTTGGCAGTGACAAATGACAGACCACCACACTGGTTGATCATGTATACAAGGAGCACCTATTGACACCAACATATTAATCCTGCTGCAATGCAGAAGACAAAGTGATTAATTCCTGAACACTGGCCAGAAAAGCGTACAATTAAGTTATAACATATTTACTATGCAAGCTTGTCGGAGTGCATTAAGATTTTTTCTACAGCATTCATGTGATGTAGCTTGACTCAGTGCTAACGCACCTCACTTTTATTTAGAAGTTACTGCTGTTATAGTTGTAACTGGGGCACCATATTTTGTGACTAAGGTTTCTTATAGTTTTCTTGGGTCACTTCATGTGGCTGGGACAGAATGCCCAAAGAAGCCATAACCAGTTCTTCTCCATTCATTTCTACTTTAATGTACTTCACTATCCATTCAACCCATTTGACGCTAAATAAACTTTACTGTTCATACAACATAATTAGAAAACAAATATATCAATCAGTCTTGAATTGGACATACTGAAGAAAACTGCAAAAAGGTTTGTAAAAATATTATTCTGTCCTCAAGCCATGTAATTCTGAACTTCTTAACCCAGGTTTCATCAAACATCATTATATAACTGGTTTAAGCAGGGCAGTGTTTGATGTTATCTCATTCTTACACTCTTTCCACAGAAATAAAATGCAAGAGTGATCAAACACATGTACTATATTTCAATTTGTATAAAAAATACACTGAATCAAAGTGAGCAATGCATCAAGGCATGTTTTGAATGGCATTTACCTAATCTGTTTTAACACAAAGGAGAAGAAGGGTGGTAGGGGGAGAGAAATGGCAATGGGATGTACAAATAGAAGAGACTAGACAGGAACATCAGAGAAGGAAGGAAAGGACATAGAACCTTGAGAGTTTATGTAACTTATATAGAAAGTTTTCATGTTGAATCATTAATGGGAATTACACTAGCAAAAACTTATCCTGGTTGAATACAAAATATTCACATAGACTCTAATGAAACACTGATTTGGTTACATCCATCTTTACAATCATGATAATCAGAGAATAACATAAAGAGCTAGAGACCTATAAAACACAATGGGCAAGTTTTAAGCTGGAAATGTTTCAATATTAAAATTCTTTTAGTGTGTGTGTGTGTGTGTGTGTGTGCAGTTCACAGTTGAAACAACACGCTGAATGATGCAACATTAAGTACGTGGGAAAAGCATTTATATACACAATTTTGTTAACCAGTACAAATAATACATATATTTCATATCACATAATATTGTTTTTAAACAAATTTCCATTTGTTTCACTATGACTGAATGACTAGCATTAATATTTGCATTAAGAAAAAGATAAATCTTCAGCTATAAAAAGATTAAGTCAACTGATAATGCTGACTTTACCATATCAAACCTTACGAATAGTAAATTAACTACAGAGTCATCACAGGACATGAGATCAATGACCTCCCACCAAACAAATATAGATTTAAGTCTAACCAGTTCATGTGAAACTTGTAAATAAACCTGATTAGAGGTTTTCTTATATTTCTCAGCTTTTGCCTGCATTTTTTTACAGTATCTCCATTACTCCTCATCATCAATATTATCAATTTTAAATATTCTTTGATCAGTGCAGCTTCATTACAAATATATTATAATCTATTAGTTGCTGCAAAAGTTTCCAGACCTGACATTCAGAGACTGTAATTAAAGAAAAATAGTAAGAATATTTTTAAGGGTTCAACAGAGCAAAGAGCTCCTTGCTATGTACCAAAATTCAATACATTACTCAACCTTCTTGAAAAACCTTGATTAGAACTTCTAATAAAATAATATATTAATTTTTCCATTATTTTAGTGACAAAAACAAGATCCTGGGCACATGAACAGGGATGACATATTTCAACAACAGAGGTTGAACTCGTGTTACATAACCTTCACAGTTGACACAAACTAATTAAGTCTGTGGAACATAGTTCTTGAGAAGTGAATAGTCACTCAACTAGTCAAGAAATTCCATTTCTTTTAAGGAACCCAAAAGTTAATTATCATGTTCACAACAGCCCACCACTGGTCCCTATCCTGTGCTGGGCTGGAAGGATTAGGTCAATTAAAAAATGCAATTACCTCATTGGGAATTGAACCACGATCTTCCAACTTGTAGCATAGTGCTTCAATCAATTACACTACCACTGGCCCCCTCCAGTGAATGTCGATAAGTCAAATTATTATTTTTATGATGTCAGTGCATGGTCAGCTTCTTAATCCACATCAATAAATTTAATTGATCTGAATGTGAACGAGTATTTCCATTAAGGTGAAAATAACTTAGTTGTAATATTTCAGCTCATATACACATTTAACTGGTTAATTTAGAGTAACGTAGAGAGATGAATGTAGACACCTTAAAGGGCTGTATGACAAGGGACTTACAAAATGCTGCTGAGTTATGAATGACAAAAGTATGACAGCCTAATGAAGAATGATCCCTATCACCAAGTTACAATTTTTTTTGTAACTATGGCTAGGGAACTTGCTAGAGCTTGAAACAAATTTACAAATAATCACCAGTCTGCCTTGCAATGACTTTTTGTCCAAATGGAATGGATAACCTGAATCTCACTGGCCAGATGAACGAGAATTTTGGTGTCCAGCCACATCCCACCTCTGCTAGTTTTTACCTGTGAGGTGGAGAACAGGTTACTCTGAAACACTAGTAGCCATCAGTAAGACCACACAGGCTCCTAGAAAATCAGATTCTATAAGAATGATAGATACATTACATCAATATAAATTACTATTATTTGTACCTTTGCTACAAAAATTGGAAGAAAAAAAGTGTTTTAATCTACCCTTGGTTTAGAGAGAAGGAAAATCCTAATTTTGTTTCAGATAATGCACAATTATACACTGTTCTCTGCACTTTTATGGAATTAAAGAATCCACATTTATCAGTCTTTATAACAGTCACTGTAATCAGGAAATATAAAAAATTATGCTAATGACTGATTAATTCCTGATTTTTCATGTCCTTGAAAATGTCAGCCTCTCAGAAACATTCACACATATAAACAGCATCTAGGGACAGTGAAAAACTGTAATACTTATGAGAACCAATAAAAGAGATTACATAATACAAATCCAAATAGTGGTTTGAGTTTCCTATAAAAAGTTTCAACGTGTGAACAATTTAGCCATCCTACTTCCATTGTGATATATATTTTATAATTAGAAAAGTGTCAGAATCTCTTTGCTGTCAGATATCCCTGTTTTCATTTCTGTTCCAACATTGCTGATGACTTATTTCTGTTTCTTTTCAAGAAATTCGATTTGGCAACATTGTATCTGGCAGCATCTCACTGACTGTCATTTTGGTCACACTTACCTCTCTCTTACTTGTACTAGTGGTTTCATCAGTCTTCAAGTTTAATCACATTATCTCTTTCTTCCCTGGGGCTATTTTAGTTTCTTTTTCACTAGCAAGCTGTAACCTTTCTTGAAGGATGGTGTACTGTAACCATTTTTGAAGACTGCCAGAGTGCGTCCTGTCCAAGTATGCTCTTGCCCTAACACTATTGCTTGACAATCATCGTCACTGGTACAGATCTGAACAGCCTCCTCCTCGTTGAAAACAGAGATGACACAACCAACAGCAGACACAGACAGTGGACATCGATAGTCATACAGCCCAGGTAAATCACTGTCACTCATCCGCTCATATCCTAAACAGATGCAGAAGAGTACATACCATATGTTACTGTGATATAACTGTTCTGCTGTCTGTCCATATTTAAAAAAAAGACTATAGTCATATTGCTTATATATTTATCAGTTTATTTGGGAGGGGGCAGTTGTTAGCAGAACATAATTCAAAAGAGAAAAAGAATATTTCAGCTTGTTCCAGAAAACTTGGTCTCTCACATTGAGAAAGGAACATAGATTCAAGGTTGCTGAGGAGAATATTTGGACCAAAGAGTGAGGAACTGACAGGAGGCTGGAGAAAACTACATAATGAGGAGCTTCACAATTTGTACTATTTACCAAATGTTATTGGGATAATCAGCTGGAAAACAATGAATTGTTGCATGCATGGAAGTAATTCATACAAAATTGTGGTCTGGAAACCTGACATGAAGTCCTCCCCATAGATGTGAGGTTAACATTAAAGTGGATCCTAAATAAATAACTAAAGTGGAAGGGTTTGAAATCATCTGCCTCAGCAAAGGGAAGTAGCACACTCTTGCAGGCATGGTAATGAACCTTTGGTTTTCATAAAAGAAGATGAGTTTCTTGAGTCACTAAATTCCTATGAGATCCTGAAGGACTCCAGTTCATGGAGTTAGTCAGCTACTGCTCTGTGAAACTCTATGTCATCATGCCTTACTATTAAGGCATTAAGGACATGGAAATAAAATTTGCCCCATTCTAGCTCAACTTTAAGAAAAGATACGTATTTGGCACCAAAGTCTAGCTACTTTATATCTGGGGAAATAATCCCCGATGGACTGTATATTCAGTGGGTACAAGAGTAAGACTGAACATGGTAGGAAAGACAAATCCTTGCCTGCCAGGAATAAAATTTCAGCCCCCAGCCCTCTACTGACTGAATCTCTTTGGTTTAAGACTTTAAGACACATATTCATTTAAGACTGATGGTATTTCAATGTAGAAGTGAACTCCTATATATGAGTAATAAAGCTTGATTTAAAGGTTCTCTGTCATTCAGTGTTCAGTGATCCAAAATCGGCATTAAATTTCCTCCACTTGTCTTCTTTAATAAACGTTAAAATCCACTACTTAATTAAAGTTGTCCTCATACTTAATTAACCATCATGCCATGAAGACATATGAAGGACTGGAGGTACAGATGCAGACAGTCTTAATGTCTCCACTATGTGGAAGTGAGTGATAAGTTTCACTTCTCCAGCCATTCTACCCCTGGGGAAAGGAATTTTGGGACCTTCTGGACAGGAGACTGGGTGGGCCCCAGAGGAGGTTTGGACAGTGTGGAGAAGAGAAGAGTCTCTTCTCTTCTCCATGAGCCGAATTCTGATTCCTTGGTCATTCAGCTCATAGCCCATTGCTATACTGACTGAGCTACCTCAGCTACAAAAAGCAAACAGGCCTATGAAGAAATAATAAATGGGCATTTTGCCATATAGATCACAATGAGCGGTGCCGCTTCAGTAGTCACTTCTAACGCTTGTGTCACACTCCCTTGTAAGAAAATTCCACATCTTTCAATAAGGAAAATTAGTAATATATTGCGGCATTTGGACCTGTTGCTAGGCAATGACCCCAAAATAAGCAACTAAACAACATTTCCTAGGTATAGCTCTGCCAACAAACATGAATGTAACAATATCATGGCAACAATTGCACACGGTCCATGCCAAGGTGTTATAGCCACAACAAGTGAGGAGTAGTGAGCTGGTGAAGTGAAGAGTTAGGGGATTGCACTGCAGTTCAGTCATTGTGAGCTGTTGCTGTGAGAAACTGGTAACTGAGGCCAGGGATAGTTCAGGAACCCAGAGGAAGAGGAACGTGTGCCATTGGAAGCTACTACCAAGCAACGGCTAGTGGAGACTGTAACAGACTGAGAACATTAGTCTGTGTGTGACAGTGATTTGTAAAGTGTAGTCACAAGCTTTGTGTTAAAAGAGTTCAATAAATCCAATTACCAATCCAAATCCCGTTTATAGTCACATTCCGTACATGTGACAATATGCGAGTATTTGGCATTACTGAACCCACAACGATTTGGAGTCCATTTTCAATAGATTAACAGATAATTTTGGCTCATTTTTCATTTTAAAAGTATAAAGATGATCCTATTGCTATAGTATTATATGCAAATTTTTGCATAGACCACAAACAATTCTTGCAGAATCAAAGAGATACATATGAATTTTGTAGAATTCATGAAATGATGAACTTTTTGACTATCAATATTGATCATGTTCATTAAATTGTAAAATTTTGTTCCAGCTTTCATTCTTGTATTCTGAAAGCTAAAAGTTATGGTATACTCATATTAAGTTTTGTGAATTCTTGAATATTTGAGTTATTATGATTCTAGTCACTGCTATCCTAACTAATCCCATAGTGCAGGATCTTTCTTCATTCAGAGTTCATCTGCTCAGCTGGTCAAGACACATTCATATTTTTATTGGATTTAAAAGTTAATTACTTGTACCAGGTTCATGAAAGCCTATCTCTGAACCATATCCTGAGCTAGCTGAATGATTTTCCTGTAGTTTTCTCCATTTTATCACAGCTTTTTATTTAACTCAATTGCTGATGTATTTTTGCGGGAGTCATACTGACACTTTCAGTATAGGAACTATACAAAACTTGATGATATAATGAATGATGAATTGGAAATGATCTGGAAGGAAGCAGTCATGGCCTAATTGAGAACAATCCTGAATTTTTCTGGATGGAGAAAGGAAGACCATGATGGAGCTCAGTCAGAACAGCTGGTGGTCCTGGCCAAGATTGAAACTGAACACCTCACAAATACATGTCTACAAGATTACCTGTAGACAAATCTCTTTGATTTGATAGTTGTAACATCAAGTATGCTGCTATATAAAATAATTTCTAAACAAATATGATCTGAATCTAATATTTGTCTGAAACTTTAACGAGAGTATGTCTGCATGGTGATTTTTTCAGCAATAGTATCATTAGCAGGCACAAGATCACATTATGCTCTGGTTTTGTCATGATATAACTGTATTGACTCTTAACACTGAATAAATTGATAGAATACAGTAGTTAGCAATGTTTTTTCAAGATGCCATGAGCTCAAACCAAGATTCTTGAGGCTGTGAATATTTTAGCTTTGTGCTATCTCACTAACCCCTGGGTCAATGCAAGATATTCTGCTGCCCCAAATGAATACCATTTTTAGCACTCTTCTTAACAGACAAATGGACAATCAATGTTAATGGAAGGCTTTAACCTAAAATATGTCACCCCCAAGCATCCACATGGAATGTTGTGCTTTTGCACCCATCCTGAGTGTGAGTGCCTTGCTCATCCCTTGTGGTAATGCAGAGAAAATTTCTCAGTATCCCCATGAACATGACATGTGTTATACTAAGAATCATATATGTTTGCTAAATATATCCCTTTGTGTTGAAATATCATATGATAACTGTGCAGTTTATCTTAATGAACATTAAAACTGAGAAGAGAAGGTTCTGTTACGATATGCCTCAATTTGGATATATATTTTGAATGTGTTAGGAGAATTCTGACAGGACAGTATGCACATCTGCAATGTCTCTGAATACCTGACTAGCATCTGGAGTATAACCCATGAGTTTTGAACATCTGATTCACACGTTGAAGGTACACAGTTTGAATACTGAGGAGCCAACTATATTAGCATGGTTTTCCACAGAGTCTCTGCAAAGTGGTGGGACAGTTCTGTGAAATGGGCTGCAACTGCCTCCTTCCATATTTTACCCTCATTTCATGATTCAAAATCTCCCTGACTTACTTCAATGAATGGCACACAACCTCATAGGTTAATATAAACATAAATAATTACCTATCCAAATTCTTTTCTTGCTCACTTACCAGCAGAGAAAGGGTTACTTAGGAAGGAATACATACCACTAGTGCTGCTACCCTGAGTGCTGGGTCGAATCATGTAATCTCCAGATACAAAGTGAGCCACTAGTTTTTGGGTTGTGCCTAGAATGCGGGCTGAGTTCCAGCCACCTGCAGCAGGATGGGCATATGCTGCCAGAAGTTCATGGATGTGGGGCTCAAGTGACAATGGTGCACTCAGAGGAAGGAAGAGTCGGATGAAGTGTTGGCCTGCGTGCCAGATGTTGAGGCGTTCATTATGGCCAATGCACCGCGAATCGATACATGACAACCCTTTTGTGGTATTATCATCGCTTACATTGTTGTTTTCATCACTGTAACAGAAATAACAGCAACTAACAAATTTGATGTCTCTTATAGAACTAATGACTTATACACAGAGATATTGGGTTTTCGGACTTTATCCATCGTCCTGGTTTTAAGACAACTAAGAAAAACACGACGTTTTGGAAACTGGATCTGTTTCCGTCCTCAGGCGAGGGGGTGGATCCCTTAGAAAGAGCTAGCCTCAATCACTGGAACAACAGAATAGGTGTTTTCCCTCACCTGAGGACGGAAAAAAGATCCAGTTTCCGAAACATCGTGTTTTTCTTAGTTATCTTAAAACCAGGACAATGGATACAGTCCAAAAACACAATATCTCTGTGTGTTATACACCATCGTCAGAATCCTATAGTAACTAATGACTTATAACCGTCGACACAACAAACAAAGTGGGAATACCTTTGATGAAGATTACAGATGTTGGTATACATTTTACTTTTTTAATGTAAACATGGCTTGTGCTACATGTTTCGACCATACAATTTAGGTCATCATCAGGCACCTTCAAACATAACTCAAGTGATTAAAATTTATGGTCATGACACAAATCCGTATTCCTAAATTGATGATTGTTTTACAAGCAAATATGTATTTACATAATGAGCATAGTTCGGCAATTTAATATTCTGATAAAATTCGTTATGACATAAGGGAAATTAAAAATATGAAATTATTAATTGCACAATATATTAAAAATACTAGCTAGTTTTTGTGTTTAGGTATGTACAACCTTCCACAGATGTACGTTAATGTGCTGAAGATGGGGGGGGGGTGTCTTTGTAGTAATATGTGCTTGCTGTCTTGTGGTTCTTATGTACTGAAACTGAGGAATACTATATAAGTAATATATGGTTGTGGGTTATACTTTAATACTCTTTAAGAAATGAGGAAATATTTACCTAAGTTTCATGTAAAAAGAGATTGTAATATCTTGTTACTTCTCACTGCTATCCTAGACTGATGTAATTAAGTACTGTAATTACATATTATATACACAACAGGATGCAATCTATAAAGTCTCTTATAGAATCCAAAATTCATTACCATAATTTCATAGAAGTCATTGTTATCATTAGTTCAACAAACCAACACATGCAGACCACAAAAGGGATATGGCAAGACATAATTAAATTGATACTATAAGAGATATGTGTGATCCTATTTCACACATCATGACACCAGACAACATACAAAAGCATTTACACTTATACATCACTGGATTGCTGCATCACATTAGATTTAATGTTAATGACATTTTCTAATATAACTTTTAAATAAATACATAATGTAAAGTGATGAAAAGTTTTCTCTTAACATTGGATGACCTGAAGAGGACCGTTTGAAAATGAAACTTGTTTGGACTCATAATTATGCATTAGATAAAAACTTAAAACAACTGATGGCATTTTTGTATTTATTATAGTTCACTACATGTTTACAACAGCCTGCTACTGGACCAACCTGAGTCATATAAATTCACTCCACAACTTCTCTCTCTATATTTTTAAGGTATATGTTAAATATTATCTGCTCATCTATGCCTGTGTCTTTCAAGAGATATTTGCCCTTCACTTTTCCCATGTGTACTACATATCACACCCATCTCATCCTCCTTAGTTTCATCATACTGAAAGAATTTGGTGAAAAATATAAATTATGAAGCTTCTTACCATATAATTGTTTCCACCCTTCCATTACTTCCTCCCTCTTATGTCCAAATATTCTCCTCATCATCCTGTTCTCAAACACCCTTACTCTATGTGCTCCCATTAGGGTGAGAGACCAGATAATTACAGTACCACCATGGAACTTTTGTTCTTTCCTGATTAGGGGACTTATGTATAAATTATGAGGTTCTCACAGCAGTAATTTTTAAAATTGTGGTCTTTTGGGTTGGAGGGTAATGCTGTCTTGTTCTTCAAGGTCAACCAGCATGTTCCTCTAGAGCTACACAACCCAGAAGAACACAATCTGATTAGTTGACTTCTATCCCTGGTTTCTACTCAGGACTTGGCTTATTTATTTTTGCTCATTTATTTTTACTAATGTGGTTCTTAGGGCTGCTTCTTTCTTCAGACTATTTTCATTTGTGCAGTTGTCAACATGGGTATTGTTCTGTTGTCTAGACATCTGATTGTTCCATACTCTGTACTGTATCAATGTCAGGATGTGTAGTGTAAGTTAGGCCAAGTGAATCACTTCTCTGTATACACCTATCTTGAAATGCACATCAAATGTACACCAGGCAATTGGCGATGCCCAACATAACATTAGCATAATACTCTTCTCACCATTACATCACTGTACACTAGCATAACAGTAAGCACTTACTTGCCAATAACACAGTCTGAATCTGTCACACATTCTGGTTCATTAATTCCCAAGTCATCAACATCCGATAATTTCAAAGTCCCACCAACAAGGACAAATTGTTGGCGACGGAAATCATTCATGGAGAGCGATCCAAGTGGAGAATGAGCCAACTGATGAAGAATCTGGGCAATTCCTAGTGCAAGCTGCAATTGAACAACACAGCAATAATACAAACACCTTCTTCCATGAATAATAGTAGGCATATATTTGTAATAAGCAGGGCCTGGATTTTGATGACCTGAAAATATTTAAAAAATGACCGAAAAAATCCAGAAAAATGACCTAAAATATGACCCAAAAATGTAATATGCAGGGCCTGCATTTTGATGACCTTAAAATATTCAAAAAAATTATCTATAAAATGACCGAAAAAACCCAGAAAAATAACCTAAAGGAGAAAAGAAAGAACCCTTCGCTTCCATGTTATTCACATTTCAGAAAACATATGAAGAAAAATTCCCTAAAATGGACAAAAATGACAAGAAATACCCTTAAAAGTCCAAAATTTACCAAAAAAATTGCCCAAAAAATGACCTTAAACCTAAAAATGTAAAAAAAATTACCTATAAAGTTTACATTTCTGTAACCAGCAGCTCATATCCAAGATTTATATATTTAAGAGCATCGCATAGGATACAAGGAAAAAAAGATGACATGTCATCAAAATCCGGGCCCTGGCAATAAGTCTTCAAAATAAACTCTAAAGCGAAAAAGCATTTCATTATTAAGCTTTTGTTGTTACTCATGTAATGTGTCAATCTGGGCCAATCAGATGAAAGTGACAGGTACCTAACTACCACAATATCAATCCATAAAGAGTCATGGAAATAATTTATCAGTTCTGATAGTAGATGGAGACAAGTTAAATCTCCTTACATTATTCACTAGATGAAAATCTGAATGAGCTCTGAAGTTAATCTGGACATGTCATTCATTCATCAGTAATCTGTCAAGACGACAGGTCCACAGTCTCTACCAAAACAGTTCCTCCACTTAATGCGATCTAGAGCTTTCTCCTTCAAATGAGAATATCCTCTTCTGTCCCCAAGGTCATCCAGCATCTTCTTACATCTTCTTCCTCGTCTTCTGGCCACTTCATGAAAAATATTCCTAATACTCCAAGCAGAGGATTGGACTACAGCCAATAGCTGAATATTTTACAGAGTGAGTTGTAGCATATAAGTCATGATCTTATTCTGGGGCAATGGCACCATGTAAGTGTGGGCTGTACTCTCAACATTTTAAAGAACTTTATGACCTCCAGTTTCAAGGCCTTGAAGACAAAAAGAATCTTAAAAATATCAGCAATACTCATATAGTCTACATCTATATGCTACCATCACCTTGAAAGCCTCAATTCAACTACAGCACATGAAGTAAATGATTACATATATAGACACTACATTACCTGAGCTCCTGAGACTGTTGTTATGCAATTCATAAATAAATAAATGTAAATAAAAAATCTATCCCCATAACAGGCCATGTAGGCCCACAGGGTTGTGAGACATCAAGGCTCCCACGTTTTCTAGACAGTCGGGTCACAAATGGCGGTAAGGTTGTCAGCTTTACACACCAGTCACCATTTACCCCCAGGAAGATTCCTTGTACTCATTTCTGTTAGAGGCTGAGTCAACCCCAGGGCAAAAGTGCAGCTGGAAGGATGAGGTCAACTGAAAAATTTAATGATCTCATCGGGAATCAAACCCGTGACCTTCCGGCTTATAGCATAGGGCCTCAACCAACTTTAAATATTCATACCAAAAATTTTTGATCACTTCCTCATAGACTTGTGAAATTTGAATGCAGTAGTATATAATATAAAGAATACAAGTATGTTTAAGAAAGTGGATTTTGGAACTTTATACTGTATGTCTCTCTCTTAATGGCTACCACCATTTCATCAAATATTTTAATTTGCACTTCAAAAAATATATAGTTTTAATGGATTTTAAGTGAAAATTTTTGCAGAACAGCAATATGGTTGAGATATTGTAAGATTAAATTAAACAAGTTTACACTTACTAATGTAATTTTTTTTTATCTGGAATCCTTAACTTTAGCAAAAAAGGGAAACAATATGTACAAACAGAACAATTCACATATGAAAATTCTGGTAAAATAGCTGAAATGATGCATAAAAATAAAGAATTTGATTTTTAGTGAAACAATTATAAATATAAGAATTTTGTTAATTTTACTGTAATGGGCTATTATTGTTACAAATAACCTGACAGCTTCTATGATCTAGATGCAATCTGGGGATAACATGAAATGGGTAATGTGAAATGGTCCCCCTGCTTAATTGAGCACAATAACATGAAGATGTATGGGGGTGCAGATATACAGCTCCATTCATCTATGGCTTCAACAACAGTAGGGCCCTAGATGCAAAATTATTTTTATTTTTTAAACTAATTATTAAAATACAATGAAGCAAAATACAGATGAGGAGAATAGTTTATTAAATTATTCTTATTTAAAGTTTTGTGTTCAGAAGTGACCTTTTCATATTCTTCATGCTTTTCCTCTTCTTTGTGTCTTCTGGCATAAACCATAATCCTTAGAATTGAGTCCAATTGAAATGTGTGCATATGCATGGGCGGGCAGGTGCACATGTGTGTGTGTGTGAGAGAGAGAGAGAATATATATTTATAGGATATCTTGTCTTTGACCACAAGGAAGAAGTTTCAACCTACCAAAGCTCCTTTGTACACATTAGTAACTAGACATACATATTACTCCTCTTCCTTCATACCAATTGTGCAATACTTACCCTCAGTCTGTCCTCCCATGAGAACTGAAGCAAACGCAAAGTGTCAAGAGGATCTCCAAGTTCTGTTACCATGGAGACTGGACCTACTGCATCAGGAACACAGAACCCCAACACCTGAAAATTGTCCAAAGGTAAAAGATTACTAAATGATGCTTATGAGCCTTAACTCTATTCAAAATTTAATTTCATTGTTTCACTTTCATTAGTTTTAGAAGAGTAAGACATCAAAGGCGATGTTCCAAGGGGTACGCAGTAAGGGGACGAGTAATTGCCTGCCCTCGGGTTAAATTCTGCTCAGCTGCACATTCATCTTTGTTCCCACAATTTTCCCTCCACTGTAGCATGACCCCTGCAGTTAAACTGGCAGTGATGCCCTCCTTAAATTTACATGGAGTTGTTAAGAAAAATGTGAGTTGAGATCATGTAATGACATGAGTTTCTGCATAGTTTAGAAACACAATGTAACTTACACAGAATACTGTATCAGTTTGATGATTGAATCATGGACAGTGAGAACTGAAAGGAGAAGACTGATATTGGCAGAAGTGCATTTGTGGGATAAGCATTTTTGGACTGTGAAAGAAATAATGAAAGACCTAAAATTCGACAAATAATAGAATTTGTAGAACAGTACAGAAACAGCTGGAAAGAACACATTAATATGATGATGTCTAACATGATTCCAAAATAAGATTTTAAATTATCAGCCCAGCCAAAAGTAAAAGAAGTTCTGGAAGATCTTTGAAATTACAGAATGATTCTGTTATGTAATACATACAACAACTAAAATATTATTTTCCATAGTCCTTTTTCATAATACAAATTAGGGAATGATAGGAGCTGAAACAAAGAGAAACCACACAAAGCATCTGCTTCTTGTGTGACAAACAAATTAATATGTCTAATTTAATAAAAGATTTATCAGGCAGTATTTAATTATCTGGCAATCTGTCTCAAAAAATTTTCCTGCCCCTTTGAGTTCATTTAATTTAATTCATGTTCTTAGTAATTCCAGCTTACCATTCAAGAAAAGAAAATTAACACTTCACACACACTCAGACTTGGGGAAATTTAAATTGTAAGTGGATACTTTGTCTGAATTGCTAAATCTGCTTTAAAAAATGGATGATATATCATATAAATCTTTGATTAACCTCTCAGTATAACAGTATTTAATTAACATATTTAAAACAGAGGAAACAGAAAGAGATTCTGGACGGAATTAACAATGCATACATTTTTGCAGTTAATTCAAAACATAAGGTGAATACTGCTAGCTTTATAAATTAATAATTGTACAAGTAGATTCTAAAGGTCTCTACAATTGTGTGTAACACTCATGATTACTAAGATATTAAACTGGACCCAATAGAGTAGATCTGTCCCACCCTTTACCTGAGGACAGACACAGATAAAGTTTCTGAATTGTTCTTTTCTTCAGAATACTGGATGATGGGCAAATTATAAATGCTCAGTATTCAAGAGTAATAGTTATGCAATTTGGCGATCCATTTCTGTCTTCTTGTATGACACGAAGAACCAACAAGTCACTCCGTTTTTAGGGTTTTGAATTTTTACAGCTCTCTGGTTGGACTCCCTAGATGAAGACCCAGTCTGTTAAAAGACCTCTACCTATACAGAAAAACATAAATTCAAAAGAAATATAGAGATATGTCCATGCTCAGAGTGGGATTTTAACCAATAATCCCTGTGTTCAGACACATACCACAGATCATGCACCCACTGGAATCAGCACTCCATTGTCCTACTGTGTCTAATTTCTACTAGTACAGGTTCCTAGGGTAATAAATTTGTATGTACATTTATGACCCTACTACATTCAAATTTGGATAGCCCTAGCTTCAGTGGTTCATTGCTCATCACAATCAAACTGAAAGGTAAATGTAAATATTATGCGGTTTCCACAATGGCTTGTCTTTTGTTTCTAAAGTTCACTTCCATATATTGAATTTCAGGAATTTTAATTGATTCAAAGATCTTAAATTATGAACAAAACAAACATAATAAACACTGAAAACAAATCTCATTTACCGACTGAAATACACCTTGGATTGAACTAATGATAAGCTAGCATTTTGTTTACCTTTCCTTGATGGCAGTAAGAATTTCTCTTGCTTAGAGAAAATATAGACCTTAGAGTGACTCTCAATTTTACATTTATTCCAGCACAATCTTCTCGCTGCATATTTTAAAAGCTTCAATCATGATTAGATTACAGTATAAACTCTGAAGCAAAGTTTGTTGCCATATCAGACAATCAAGCTAGTGCTAAGCTAATGGTTGTTTTTGATTCACATCACCAAGCACTCTGACACTTCAGTGTTCCGCGACTTCTGATTACCGAGCTTTCTACCAATTCCCTCACGGTAATTATATATTATTCACACCATTTGCTCGTCTAGATAGGGGGAGGGTGGATTTGAAAATACTCAATAAATGCGTTGTCTCTTGCAGTGTTTCCTAATCGAACAGAAAATCCCAGGAAGTTTCTGTAGATGCTGCACAGCAATAAAAGCTACAGAAAGGGGTCGGTGATGAACATCTATAATGTGTGTGTGTGTGTGTGTGTGAGCATGGCTAGGAAGGAGGAAGGAAGGATGCAAAGTAATATATACATCAATACATTCCACACAACTGCAGCTAGGTTTCCAGAGAAGCAGTTTTATTCTGCTATAATATCAAATGGTCCACTCAGCCTTATGAGGATAACTGAGGAGGTATTTCAAGGAAACAGCAGCTCTGGTCTAGAAAACCGAGATTAACGGCCATGGGGATCCGTTGCACTGACCAGGCGACACCCTCTATCCACGAAAGTTGGCACTAACTTTGCTGACAAGCGGTGGTCGCTCAGTCGGTATAGTTCACTTGTGGAATAAAACTATAGAGTTTGTAATATCAAATTATTTATAATGCACACAAAGAGAAACACAAAAGGTCATCAATAAGAGTACTAGCTGGCTTGAAGTCCCTTAACCTCCAGAATATGAAGATTACTGAGTAACTTTGGCTTTCTGAGGAAGCATTATTGTCCCCCACTCTCAGCAGATTTGTCAACACCAGATTATTTTCTATGGTTCTGCAATAAAGACAATGCCTACAGCCATAACTCACACATTATGCATGAACTGAAAATCAACATATACAGCATTAATGTCGACGTTTAGGTCATGACACTGCAAGCAGTCTCTATGAACATGTTTGATCATGGTCGGTTATGCATGCAACATGGTGGTGAACTCATTCAGAAATTTTTGAACACTGAATAAAGTTCTTGATTTGAAAACCACAATACTGCACACATGAGTCTCATTAAAATGTCCCTAACCCTCTAATACATGACACCATTAACATTTGTAATCTTTTTCCTGGTGCTGCAAACGTGTGGGTCTTGGTCTCCTCCATAGGTCTCTGGAGGTTTCGTAACAGTAAACTTTTCTGGTGCTGGATGGTCAGCCCCACACCCAACGTCCAATCCTGGAGGACCAAGAACTACCCTTTGATCTGTCTAGCTCTACTGGGAGCTTATATGCCTGCCAGCTTTGCTCTCTGGGGGTTATGAGCATGCCGTAGCTCCTCTGCGTGACAGATAAAGTCTTTTTTTTTGTTGCTAGTGGGGTGGGACTAAGTCCCTTGTACTGCGGCCACTGCGGCCACTTCTGGCCTACTGTACCAGCCCCAGATGGTAGGTGAGGGTGATTGTGGAGCAATTGGTGGAATGAAGATTGGCAGGGGAAACCGAAGTACTCGGAGAAAACCTGCTCCAGCGCCACTCTGTCCACCACAAATCTCACTTAACCAGACCCGGGATCGAACCCTGGCCGCCGCGGTGGGAAGCCAGCGACTAACTATGGCGAGCCTAGATAAAGTGTTAGTCCTTGAGGAGGTACATACAGTGAATGGTCAAGTAAAGTATTGTTTTAGACAATTACAAAACTATAAACATGTACACTGGAAAGCACAGCAGACACATATGTAGATGTTATTTAACACATGCAAGGGCATACATTGGGAAAGCATTCATCCTTGCACTAGCCTCTTTTCAGTAAACATTTTAATTCCTGTAACAAAAAGTCGTTCCTGTAATATGCCGTGGAGGCCCATAGGGTTGTGAGATGTCGACACTTCCACATTTTGTAGACAATCAGCTTGCAGGTGGCGGTGAGGTTGTCACCCTTACATGCTGGTCGCCCTTTACCCCCAGGAAGATTCCTGGTACTCATTTATGTCAGAGGCTGAATCGACCCCAGGGCCATAGTGCGGCTGCAAGGATTAAGTCAACTGAAAAAATCCAATGAACTCATCGGGATTCGAACCCGCGACCCTCCGGCTTGTAGCACAGTGTCTCAACCAATTATACTACTTATACTTTCAAAATCATTTTCTTTAAATACAATTCTAGAAGGTATTCTAATTGAGCACGTGACCAACTGTAACTGAACTGAACTATTAAGCTCACCAACTACATAAAGCAGAAGACTACTAGAAGAGCTAGTCAGAAAATTCTTCCGACAGTTAATTACTGTGTTCGCAGCAGCATGCCACTGGATCCTAGCGGCAGGTTGACAAATTCAGATCACCCCCTGTGACCTTACTTCTTTAAGATATATTATCATCCCATCTATGATTAGGTCTCATCAGATCAAGTTTTCAAACTAAATTCTGTGTGCATTTCTTATTTCCACCATGCATCCTGCTTGGTTTCATCATCCTAATAACATCTATTGAGAAGTTTATCGCTATGCATTTCTCTAGTGCCTTCAACAATTAACTCATAGGAATTCACCTTGGCAATGGTGGCTGTTGAATTTCACTTGAAATTAGGAAGCTACAGCGGTCAAATATTCATTGCATTTTGGTTTTGGATCTTGAGTTCAGAGGTTGGCTCTCCTGACTGAGGTTTCTTAAGATTCTCCTCGCTTAGTGGGGAGTGGAGTCCACTCTGCACGGCAGCCACTGATTGGCCTATTGTAGCCTGCTCCGGGTGATTATGATGATGGGGAATTTGGTGGAATGAAGATTGGCAGGGGAAACGGAAGTACTCGGAGAAAATCCGCCCCAGCGCCACTTTGTCCACCACAAATTCCACTTGACCA